CTCGGGAGACTGATGACCAATGTTTTAACCCTGGGCTACCTCCGAGCTGGGTATCACTTGCCTGGTGGGGCACATTTTGACTTTAACTTGAAACTTGTGAAAATCAAAAACTAGAAAAATGCGCTGGCTTTGAGAAGAACATGCAGTGGAGCTCACTATAGCCCAGGCTGGCCTCAAACTCAAGATAATCCTCCTGCCTCAGCCTCCTGAGTGCCGGGATTACAGGTGTGCACCACCACAAACGGCTAAAGGAGTCCAAAATGGGACAATTTTGAGTAGCACCTTACATTTCCATAGTATATATTGGATTCTTTTTTCAAAACGACAGAGATGACTGCGAGGGAAGAGAACATGGAATAAATGAAGGAGGAGAATTAATTGTGCCCTTTAATAGTCAGGTTTAAGCTAAAGGAGAAGCATCACAAACCTTAACCCTTAAAGGGACTTGAGCTATCAGGGCTCTTCCCCATCGTTGTCACAGGATCCTGAAGCCTAGCTATTGAGCCATTCTGTATCACTCAGCTGATATTATACAGTAAAGATGGCTTCTAAAACAGGGATAATCCTACCACCTTGTGCAGTATGGTCAGGATTAAAGGTGTAAGGGAGGCACCCCATACAGGGGCTGGAGTATGGTTGGCACTCAAGTAACAGCAGATGTTGTTAGACGCAAAGCTAGAACTTTGAAGTCTCCGGTAGCCTAAGAGCCCCCTGGAGCTCTGTGACTAAACAGAGCTTGGAGATTCATAGCCAGTCCTCTTATCAGCTGTTCACCTTCCTGTTCTTCAGCAATGCCTGTGGCAGCGGCTCTGGCTGTACCCTTCAAAGGCATTTCTTGTCACACATACATATATTAGTGATGTCACTTTCTAGCCAGGTGTTCTTCCTGGCAGGTGGCGTGGCTGTCTCCTGCCTGCCTGCACTTGTTTTTCTCTCGGTTCCCTCTCCCGGGCTTGGCCAAGGCTACTTCCAGTGAACAAAAGCAGGATACTGGCAGTGGAAAGGAGGGCGGGTTCTGGTGCTTCCATCCCCTGCGGCACACATACCATGGCAAGGGTGTAACAAAGTCCGGGCCTGCAGTTGGGTGCAAAAATATTGGCACCAGCTTTTTTGCTGTAGACGAGGGGAAAGGCAGGACCTGGTGGCATGAGCCATGGAAACTTGGTTCATACCTACGCTACTTGCTCTCATCATTTTCAGTTTGGAAATACCTGCTAAGGGCCTACTGTGCCAGGCTTTGGCTTAGCTGCTAGATCTACTAACAGTAAGTAGACTTTCAAGGAGCTCATAGTCTGGTCAAGAAGAAGACGGTTACTCCAGAGCTTTAGGTCAGACAGTGGGACTAGTGCTTGCCCTCCACCAGGTACCTCATAGTCATCCAGAACCACATTTAATCCCCACTGCTACCCTGAGAGTAGGTGACATTGTTTTCATTGCACAAACAAGGACCAGAGGGGCTGGCCCAAGATTATTTAGATGGTACAGGGTAGTTCTGAGATTGGAACCTCCGTCATCTAGGGCAGTGGTGGCAAACCTATGGCACGCGTACCACAGTGGGCTGTTGGTTATCACTGAAAGCTCTAAAAGGTTCACCATCACTGAAAGCTCTAAAAGGTTCGCCATCACTGATCTGGGGCAAAACGTGTACAGACTTGAGAGGTCTCGGGGGTTGTGTGTCCCTTCATAGGTGGGGAAAATGAACCCGCAGAAGGAAAGGGGCTTGTCCAAGGGCATGTAGTACCAAGAACCTTAATCTAGGTCTCTCTCCTCCTGATTTAGACATCCAGTGTGCATCTGAGCCGTGTGCTCAGTTCAAGGTCTTCCCCTCGGTGTTGTCCTCACTGAACTATTCTGTATCCATACTTTCCCCGCCATTCTCAGAACCCTGAAATTCAGAGTTGAATTAAATAGCCAAGTTGAATAGTTGAATAAAAATAGCCGAGAGTGTCTCTTGAGCACCCAGAGGGAACTGAGCCCTCCAGAAAGATAAGGGGGCTTTCGGGGTCCTACTTCTTAAAACTCCGTAGTCCAAGAGCTTTCCATAGCTGCTTCAACTCATCTCGTCTCCCTTTTCTACCCGCTTCACTGCTCAGAAGTAGTATCACTCACTGCAGCCTCTCACTTTGCCTTGTTTTGTTTAGAGCCCCTCTTTGGAAAAGCGGGGTAGGGCACTTGTATCTATCTTATTACTGCATTGCCTAGCAAGTTTTCATAACAATGTACTTGCCTCACACGGCGTTTTCTCATATATTAACTTAGTTAGACCTCATATTGGCTCTTTGTAGTAGGATGCTGTTGTAGATTTTATCAGTAACGTAAAACTACTAAGAGAAGTTGTTCAATGCTACCTGGGTAGTGGCAGTAAGTAGTCAATAATGTGGGCTACCATTCCATTATTGTTACCATTTTTAATTGCCATTAACATTTATTGAGTTCTTACTGTTACAGGCCTTATATGTAAGGCTTTTATACATTTCGTACATACTATTTCATTAATTTTTGCAGCAGTCCATTTTATAGATGAGGAACCTAGGTCAGAAGTGAAGTATCTTGCCCAAAATGACACTACTAGTCAGGGTCAGAGTCGGGATTCAAAGAAAGAGGCAGCCCAATGCTAGGTGTGAGGAGCAAGGATGTAGCTAATAGGTGGGCAAGTTCTTGACAAGAAGAATGGGGAGTCGGGCGGGGCACAGTGGCACATGCCTATAGTCTCAGGTAGTCAGGAGGCTGAGGTAGGAGGATCCCTGCGGCCCAGGAGTTCGAGACCAGCCTGGGCAACGTAGCAAGACCTCATCTCAAAACAGACTAACAACAACAAAAACCTAGAAGGAAACCGGTGGCCTTGGCTCAGCAAGCTGAGAAGCTCTTAGATCTGCATGCTCAGAAGGGAGGAGGTGATGCAGGCAGGGCCTGAGAACACCCCTGACCAGACTGAGAGACAGAACTTCCCAGAAAAGAGACTGGGGGAAAAGGGACCTGTGGGTCTAACATTTACATCTTATACAACACTGGTGGAGTTTTGAGTTTCTTCCCCAATACCTGCTTTTGAAAGTTTTCAAATATATAGAAAAGGGCCAGGGATATAGCTCAGCAGCACAGGTGCCTGCCTGGGAAGTGCAAGGTCCTGAGTTCGATTCCCAGTATCAAAAAAAAAAATAGAAAAGTTAAGAGAGTAGTTCACAGAACACCTAGCTTTATCATTTGTTAACTTTGACACTGTCTATATGGTTTTTATTATTGTGAAACTATTTAAAAGATGCAAGCATCTTGACTTTTTTTTTTTTTTGGAGACAGGGTCTCACTCTGTAATTTAGTGATTTTTTTCTTTTTTTCCCCCGGTACTGGAAATCGAACTCATGACCTTGAGCTTGCCGGGCAGGCGCTGTGCTGCTGAGCTAAATCCCCAGCCCCTTACTCTGTAATTTAGGTTGGCCTTGAATTACACCCGGCCAGAGGTTCTTTAAAAAAATATTTTTGGGGGCCAGGGATATAGCTCAACAGCATAAGTGCTTGCCTGGCAAGCCTGAGGTCATGAGTTCAATTCCTGGTACCAAAAAAAATATATATATTTTTTTTTTTTTATTAGTTGGAAATGGTGATGCGCGCTTGTAATCCCAGCAATCAGGAGGCTGGGGCAGGAGGATCTCTTTGAGTTCAAGGCCAGCCTGGACTACAAAGGGAGACCCTGTCTCAAATTAAAATAATTTTTTATTAGTACATATTTGCATTACAGAATGATCACATTTATCATGGAGTGTTTATACATGCACATAACACATCTTAATTCTTTTTTTAAATCCTTTTTCCCTTCCTTTCCGCCTCTATCTTTTGTTCTCCTTCCCATTTGAAAAAGATCTCCCTACTTCCTACCTACTGCCTTTTTATTTTGCTCTTTATTTATATTTTGAGTTTCTCATATAAGAGAAACTATGTAGTATTTAAACTTGTGTGTCTGTTTATTTCACTTAACGTTATGGTCTTAACTGGGTGTGGTAGCTTATGCCTGTAATTCCAGCACTCAGGAGGCTGAGGCAGGAGGGTTGCCAGGAGTTCAAGTCCAGCCTGAACTACAAAGCAAGACCCTGTCTCAAAAAAATAAAACCAAAATTATGGTCTTGAGATGCATCCATTTACCTACAAATGCTTCAAGTTTATCTTTCTTTATGGCAGAGTAGTACTCTGTTGTATATAAATACCACATTTTCTTTATCCATTATTTATTGATGGGAATATAGGCTGTTTCCAAGATGAACCTGTTATAAATTGTGCTGCTATAAATATGGGTATGTAATATGATGCCCTTAACTCGGTATTATTTCTTGTGCCATTGGGGTTCTGCTCAGAAAGTACTTGCCTACTCCGGTGTCCTCGAGTTTTGCCTATTTTATCTTCCAGCAGATTGTTTCTTTTTGTTTTTTTATTGGTACCGGAACTTGAACTCAGGACCTTGCGCTTGCCAGGCAGGCATTGTGCCGTTGAGCTATATCCCCGGCTTCCATTTTAACATTTAGATCTTTGTTCCATTTTTGTTTTAGTATAGTATATGGTGAGATATATGGGTTTAGACTCAATTTTCTGCATGTGAATATCCAATTTTCCCAGCACCATTTATTAAAGAGGCTTAGATCAAAGGTTCTTAACTGAGGCCATGGTCAGGCTTCAGGGAAACCTTGATACACACCCCACAGGTAGATTATACGCACGTTTTCTTTATAGGTACATTTTTCTGGATGAGGCTTCTTGGCTCTTACCAGATTCTCAAAGGGCTCCAAGACCAAGTCCGCTCACAGAGACATCCAGTACGGAGCTGGCTTCTGGAGCCTCGTTCACACTGAGCCGACTTCCCCAGAGATGACACTAACTGCAGCTTTCCTTTGTCCTGGCTTTGCATCAAAGAGAGGACTGCCCTTTTTGTTGTTTGACCTTTAGCATCCAGAAACAGCCTGGGTGACCTGGTTTCAGGGATTCAGGAGCATTTTTGTTCTTGTCTTGCCTCGCAGGTGTTCAGAATGCCAGGATTCCCTTACCAACTGGTACTATGAGAAGGACGGGAAGCTCTACTGCCACAAGGACTACTGGGGGAAGTTCGGGGAGTTCTGCCACGGGTGCTCCCTGCTGATGACAGGGCCTGTCATGGTGAGTGGACTCCTGCGTCTCTACTCTTCTTGATGTTGCACTTCCAGTCCCCTGTGGCTATACATCTTTCGGTCTTCCCATCAGCCAGGGCCTCTCCCTTTGTTTATTCATTCATTCAACCAACAGGCATTTATTGAGTACTTCACAAGTGACAGATGATATCCTTAGACTTTTAAAGTCCAGTGTTGGGAGGTGGGTGGCAGGCAGGAAGAGAATGCAGTGGGACAGAGGCCTTAAAGGAGAGTGTTGCAGATTGAAAGGAGGGTACCACCTGGGTTGTGTTCAGGGAATCAGACAGGGAGAACCTGGAATGGGCTGGCAGAGAGAGGTTCTGCCTCCTGAACCTGCTCTAGACAAAGGGCTTTAAGCATAATCACAGACCTGCCAACTTTGCATTGGAAGAACTGAATCTGTTAGCTGTGGTTATTTCTGGGAACAAGTTTTCATGACTGGGACCAAAACAGTTTTTTTCAGTGTCAACCTGCTGCTGCTTTTGTAGGTCCTAGGGCAGAGAGTGAAAGGCTAGAATTTGACTAGAGCATGTGGAAATTGATTGAAAAAAGTAGATTTTGACTGAGGTCTGTAGATCTTCAATTGGAGGTTGCTCAGCTACCCCACCTCCACTCCAGCAAAAGTGATAACTCAACTCATTTCTTCCTTCTGTATCCTGCCCACCTGCTCACAGGTGGCCGGAGAGTTCAAGTACCACCCAGAGTGCTTTGCCTGTATGAGCTGCAAGGTGATCATTGAGGATGGGGATGCATATGCCCTGGTGCAGCATGCCACACTCTACTGGTAAGAGGTAGCCCTGTGTCTGTCCTCCCCCACTAAGTGGCCAGGAGAAAGTGGAAAGACTAATGGGGTAATCAGAGCATTGGGTTCCTATGACAATAATGCTCTAAAACAGTTCTGTAACCCATAAGCAGGGCCATTGACATCTCTGTCCTCTGTCCTTACGTACCATGAGAATAACCTCACTGTATCCTGCAGTTCTCCCAGAGGGAGAGAATGGCTGGGATGTTGTCTCCAGGGAGGATCTCAGACTATGAAAGGCAAAGAGCCCTTAGAGCTCACCTAGTCCAACTGCTTTGATTGACAGAAAACTCAGCTAAGGCCTAAGGAGGGGACAGGGGCTAGGGCAGAGTTCGCACTGGAAGTCAGAGAGCAAGAGAACATGGGTTGTCTGGCCGAGAACATGGCAGAGTTCCTCCTAGTATGCCAGCCTCGGTCATAGCCCACCCCGAGAACCCAGGATCCTCCTTGTGAGCAGCCAGCGAGAGTTACGGAAGAGGGTGCTGGCAGTGCGGCTGGGCTGTGTCGCTTACAGCCGTGTGGCCGAGTTGTTGCCGGGGAGCTTCGAGGTGGGACTCAAGGATCGCGGTTCCCTTTGTGCCCTCTCCCTAGTGGGAAGTGCCACAATGAGGTGGTGCTGGCACCCATGTTTGAGAGGCTGTCCACGGAGTCTGTTCAAGATCAGCTGCCCTACTCTGTCACGCTCATCTTCATGCCGGCCACCACCGAGGGCAGGCGGGGCTTCTCCGTGTCCGTGGACAGTGCCTGCTCCAACTACGCCACCACCGTGCAAGTGCAAGAGTGAGTATTTTGCGAACCCTTAGACCCACGCGTCCGTGGTTCCTGACCAAGACCACAGACGGAGAAGGGCTGCAGTCTCTAAAGTCTTACGCAGAGCTCCCGTCATCCTCGTCACCCACCTTTCTCCTGGAGGTCACTGCTGTGACCTCACCCAGGCCGAGGCAGCTATCTCTCTGCCTGGGGTGATTCCCACCAGGTACTTAGAGCCAGAATCTCTTACCTTTCAGGTGTCAGGTTTCAGATCATGTTTCCTCTTTGAAATTATCTGGCTTGATTCATGTGTATTAGTTTGATTATCGTCTGTCCTCCCAACTAGAATGTACACTGCAGGAGGAACTTGCTTTGTCTTGTCTGGCATTGCATGCCAAGGACCTGGAATTAGTGGGTGTTCACTGATTATTGTTTTGCTGGTTGAGTAAATGAATGGGAGGAAAGAGGAGAAAACGGAGTCTACGGTCCAAAAGAGGTTAAGATCCCATCGTAGGTCCAGGCCAGGGACCATGTGAGGAAAGGGTTTGTGTCCCCGTAGGACCCATAAGGAGACACTAGCAGCCCGGTAGCCTGTAAATACTGATTTTGCACCTACTACCTGTTAGACACGAGGCTGAAGCGTACAGCGTAGGTGAGAGATACTAGGCTTGAGGGAATCGGGAGGAGGTGAGGTCTACCCTGCAGGCTCCTTAGATGAGGAGGGTAGGGAACTGTGTTCAGCGCAGAGGGAGAAGGATGTCTGCAGAGGTGGGAATCTGTGGGTGTCTAATACAGATTGAGCATCCCCAGAGAAGGGGCCGTTAAGCATAGGGGGCCTGAGTTCCCAAGTTTCAACAGATTTGTCAAGGGGTTTAAGCAGCAAAGTGAAATGACCAGGTTCGTATTTTAGAAGGATCACTGCGGTAGAGGTCAGATGACAGAGGGGAAAAGCCTAGCTTTGTGGAGACTAGTTAGGAGGCTTTAGAGTGATCTGTGTGAGAGAGATCGGTAACTATACTGACGGAAAGAAGGCCAGTTGGCGGTGGGAGGAGGGGAACTCCAGATGGGGAAGAAGATGTCCAAGTTTTTCGCTTAGGCGCAGTGGTTCCCCTCACTGAATCTGAGAATCCTGGGAAGGGTATTGCCTTTCTGTGTGGGTAGCCTCGGTCTTGTGGGCCAGTGGGAGTCCAGGGCCTGGCGAGCCTTCCTGCACAAGCAGAAACGGGGAGGCGAGTTTTTAGGGTGCCTTCACCATGCCTCAACTCTTATCTGGCTTAGAGTCAACCGGATGCACATCAGTCCTAATAATCGCAATGCCATCCACCCTGGGGACCGCATCCTGGAGATCAACGGGACCCCTGTCCGCACACTCCGCGTGGAGGAGGTACAGTGTGTGTCTGGTCTGTCTTATGGGGGTGAGATGTGGAACAGACCCTCCGGGAGATCACGCCATGGCCTTTACCTTTTCCCACCCACACAAGCCTCTCTTGTGTTGACACTGAATCTGTGACCACTGGTGACCTCCTCTGTCAGCCTAGCAAGTTCCCAGGGCAGCAGGGAGCACCTGACAGATGAGGAAGCTGACAGAATCCCAGGCAGGGAGCGTTATGAGGCCGCTGGGAGCTGGAGGCCGCCACTAGCCAATTCGAACATTGGCCACGCAGTGCTTGGATCGTCTGGGGTGGCCGTGGGTGTGCTGGGATGGGGCAGCCCTTAGGAGCCAGCCTTACACTGCTCTTGGCCACAGGTAGAGGAAGCAATTAACCAGACGAGCCAGACACTTCAGCTGTTGATAGAGCACGACCCGGTCTCCCGGCGCCTGGATCAGCTGCGGCTCGATGCCCGGCTCTCTCCCCACATGCAGAATACAAGACACTCGCATACCCTCAGCCCCCTGGACACGAAGGAAAATCTGGAAGGGACCCTGAGGAGACGCTCCCTGAGGTGCCGCCTCCTACCGTACTTCTCTTCTGTCCTGTGTCTATTTTCCTCAGAGGTTGAATTTGCTACTGAAAGCCACGAGCATTAGGAGGGGAACCGACTTGCCAGGGACAGGGTATACAGACTGTGCTGCACGTGCTGTTCCGTAGCAATCATGTTCATAGCCAGGGCCTGTGCAGAACCCTCTCTCTGCCAGGTTTCCTTAGAAACTAGAAGATCGGGCTGTGTCCACCAAGTTCCTGAGCTGGCCAGTAGGCAGTGATGCTGGACTTTAATGCTGGGCCCTAAAGGGAAACGTAGAGAAAACATGGGGCTCAGGATTAAATAGGGGCACAGGGAGGATTGAATAAATATGTATATGAACTTTGAAAATGATAAATGAGGGATGATTGCAAGTGTTTTGAATTTGAGGGACCAATAAACCCACACCTCAGAATCTGCAAGGTCAGGGGTGGGAGGCAGTCAGCTTTGTGAAAGCCCCCAGTAGGGAAGCTTACAGGGTCAAAAGCCCAGGCTTTCAGGTAGAAATAGCCATACCAAGGCTTCAAGATGAGCCTCTACCTTCACAAATCGTCATCTCTCTGAGCCTCTGTCTCTGCATCTGTAAAATGGGGTTACAAGATACAAGTGCCTGTCTAGCCAATTATATTAGGAGTAAATGTGGAAATGACCAAAATTGTACAATGCCAGCCTAGAGTCAGTACTCAGTAGAAGTGAAATAATATTACAGCCAATAGGAATCGGGTTCTTTGTGCCCTGACCCAGCAAGCTAAATCAGTTAGGGCCTTCTCAGCTGTGGGAAACTGAACCCTCCCCACAGATTGCTGCTGCCACTTTTGGCTGGCTTGGTCAGCCAGATTGAGTTAGGAGAGGCAGGGCACCAAAGGGAGAGGAAGGCTAGAAATGTGCGGCCTGAGAAAGGGAAGATGTGGAGCGACTGGGAAGCGCTCGGGTACCTGACGGGCTGCCGTGCAGGAGACAGGACAGGATGACAGGCTTGTGTCACCACACCCAGCTTGTCAGATGCTTTTGAAAATGTAAACATTTCTTTTACTGCTATAAAATCATATATGCTTGTTAGCTTAAAATTTAGGAAATATGAGCCGGGCGTGGTGGCGCATACCTATAATCCCAGCACTCAGGAGGCTGAGGCAGGAGGATCGTTGCAAGTTTGAAACCAGCCTGGGCTACAAAGTGAGCTCACTGCTGGCCTGAACTGCACCGTGAGAACCTGTCTCAAAAAGACAAAAAAAAAAAAAAAAAAAATTAGGAAATATGGACAGGTATAAAGATTAACAAAATTTAAAAAGATTAACAAAATATTATTTAAAATCCCATCTGTTCATTTTTTGGATGGTAGCACTAACCTAGTTAGTGTCTTGACTCAAGCAGATAGAAGAAATAGTAGATTATCACTATAGTGCGGTCATATACTGAACATTGCAAGCTAGCAGAATCGAGTGAATTGTGCCAGGTGGGAAGTACTCAGAGTACCCTGTCCCTTTCCTTTTCTTTTCTTTCCTTTTCTTTTCTTTTCCTTTTCCTTTTCTTTTCTCTTTTCAGTGGTGGGCACTGAACCAAGACCGCATAACTTCTAGCAGATGAAGGTTAGGGATATAGATCTACCTCTCAGCTACATCCCTAACTCCTAGATTTCCCATTTTGATTAAGTTTTTACTGCGCTGAAATAAACTACTTATTTGGGCTATCTGTATCCCGAAAACAACATATCTGTTTAAGAGCCCTCATCCTCCAAACTATAGCATCCTAACTCTAGACCTTGGAACACACGGGTCTGCCTGAGGTACCTACCTTCAGCTTTCATCTTTCCTTGTCCAAAGGCGCAGTAACAGCATCTCCAAGTCCCCTGGCCCCAGCTCGCCCAAGGAGCCCCTGCTGCTCAGCCGTGACATCAGCCGCTCAGAATCCCTCCGCTGTTCTAGCAGCTACTCACAGCAGATCTTCCGGCCATGTGACCTGATCCATGGGGAGGTCCTGGGGAAGGGCTTCTTTGGACAGGCCATCAAGGTGAGCACAGGAAGCCGCTGCACTCATATCCCACCCCCCTACCCCCACCCCCGGTCTTCTGTTGGGAAGTTCTCGTCACATGGCCGCACTCCATACCCTGCAGGACACCAGGCTTCCTTCCTGGCTGTGGGTGATGGTGTAGCCCCACCCCCAACCCCACCAGTGCCACCACCTAAGGCCATATCACTGCTACAGTGGGCTTGTGGCTCTGGAGACCCAGGTTGGGATGAGCTGTGCCCACAGGCCCCAGTGCTGGGCATGCTACAGCGAACACAAGGAGGAGTGGCTCTTGCCACCCTGGTGAACAGTCTCAGAGACTAACTTCTCTCTCTTTCTCTCCTCCTCTGCTGAGAGCTGGGAGGGGGGGTCAGGTAAGCCATGTGTCTCAGCTTGTGGGGCAGTGGGGCTGAAGAGCTCACCCCCAACCCACCCAGCCCTCTGGTGCATGTCTGTGGCACTGACCCTCCTGCCCCCAGACTTCTGTTCACTCAAGAGACTCACTCCTGTGCCAGATGACTAGAGCTCCCGCTTGGCTTGGCAGTGCGCCCTCCTACCTCCTCCCCTATTTCCTCTCTCTGGATTCTCGACTCTCCTGTGTGCATGCCCAGCTTCCCAGGGAAGAGGGTGTACTTCCCTCTTGGTCTCCTGTTGCCCATGCTGTGTCCTCTACACATGAACTCTGTCAGTCTGATCTGATATGGCTCAGTGTGTGACCTCCAACAGATGGAATAGCCATTGCATAGTGCCTATTTCCCCGCTCCCTGGTGCCGGGGATCAAATCCAAAGCCTTGCACATGCTAGGCAAGCGTTCTGTCACTGAACTACACCCCCAGCCCATAGACCTTAACAATGTTCCAGAACTTTCTCCAGTCTCTGTACCATTAACAGTCCACCTCCCCATAGGTGATTCACAAAGCCACGGGCAAAGTAATGGTCATGAAGGAGTTAATTCGATGTGATGAAGAGACACAGAAGACTTTTCTGACTGAGGTGAGAAAGTAGGATTGGAGCCCGGCATGTTGACACACGTCTGTAATCCTAGCAGTAGAGAGGCTGAGCCAGGAGGATTGCGAGTCTGAGGCCCACCTGGGCTACACAGTGAGACCCTGACACAGAAACCTAAAACAGCAGGTGGCAGGGGAGGAAGGAAAAAAAGAAGAGGAGGGTGAGTGGAAGAGAAATAAAGAAATGGGGTTGGAGCTGCCGCCATACATGTAGGCCCAGCTACTCTAGTGCCAGTTACCTGGGTGTCCGAGGCAGGAAGATCACTTGAGCCCAAGAGTTTGTTGTTGTTGCTGCTGCTGTTGCTGCTGGGTTTTTTGTTTTGTTTTGTTTTTCTTTTTTTGAGCCCAGGAGTTTTGGGCCAGCCTGAGCAACGTGATGGAAAGAAAATTGGAGGTGTGGGAATTTGGTGTCACTGTTGGAAGAGGGAAAACCTTACAAACAGTGGTTTTTGCAGAAAACTTAATTTAGGGTCACTGTCTTAAACACTGAATGGAAAAGAACACTGGAGGATCGTACCCACTCCCTCTACCTTAGTGTAACTGTTTCTCCAATGAACACTTCCTAAAGATAGCATAAGCCAAGTACAGGGGATATGATAACAAATGAGATGTGGGTCAGAGGAGCTCTCAGGCCGTGAGGGTGATGCACAGGAAAGCAGAGCAGTTTAGTATAACTCGGTGTGATAATTGCCTCCTGGGAATCCTGAGGAGAGCCTGCCGTGGGGTCCCCAGAGAACTGATACTCCTTGAGCATCTACAGTTTTCACCACCCTTCTCACATTGCTTCATGGAGTGCTACAGTTGGGAACACTGGTCCAGGGGCCCTCCTCCACCTTTGTTTTACTCTCGGGCCCTCCCACTCCTGTTCCCCAGAGCAGTTCCTAGAAAGGCAGGATCCTTGGGGTGAGGCCTGTGAAGCCGTCCCATCTGGGTAGTAGCGTTCTCTTCCTGATGCTGGTGCCCAACTACATCATGCAAGGTAGGAGGAGGTTGGAGAGGCAGCTAACACTCATCAGGCCAATCCCTGGAGGGAGGGGCCGTGGAGGACTTGGTGTGACATTAACTGCCAACCGCTTTGGCTTCCCCCAACCCCAGGTGAAGGTGATGCGCAGCCTGGACCATCCCAATGTGCTCAAGTTCATTGGTGTGCTGTACAAGGACAAGAAGCTGAACCTGCTGACGGAGTACATTGAAGGGGGCACGCTGAAGGACTTTCTGCGCAGTGTGGTGAGCATAGAGCCCACAGTCACCAAGAGCCTTAGAAGACTGCCAAAGAGTCACATGTGCTGCTACTGTCTTGGAGCCTTGGAGGCTATAGGGGCCTTGCCTTGACCCCAGAAGACCATGCTGGGTGGAACTGGTAGAGACAGGGAGGGTTTGCTGTGCTGATCCGTGGGCCCTGGACCACAGCCTCTGATATGCATTCCTCCACCCTGCAGGACCCATTCCCTTGGCAGCAGAAGGTCAGGTTTGCCAAAGGCATCGCTTCTGGAATGGTGAGTTTTACCAACAGCCCTACCAACACAAGAGTAGGGAGAGGTGTGATTGAGGGGCGCACCAGAAGGTAGACACCCCATCCTGGGCAGCTTATGTGGCTGAGCCGTTCGGCAGCTATTAACCTTTTCTCTCTGTGCTGTTGAAGTTGTTCCCAAACCCCTGCTTTCAGCCACCACCCGGTTCCCAAAGGATTCCAAATTTTTTTTTTTTTCCAGTACCAGGAATCGAACTCACGACCTTGCGCTTGCCAGGCAGGCGCTGTGCTGCTGAGCTAAATCCCCAGCCCCAGGATTCCAAATCTTTAAGGGCAAACTGAAGAGGCGAACTGTCATGTGAGGTGGTCTGACCCTGGTATCACTGAGGTGTTCGGGTGCTGAGGGCCCTTGGAGCGGGCAGAGCATCTCACAGCCTAGGAAATCAGAGAGGGAAGGAATGAATTCTAGATGAGCCCTGAAAAATGAGTCAGAATTAGATAAAAGTTCCTGTTGGCAGAGAGGCCCCAGAGTTTAGGTGATGATCACGGTCAAAACCTGGGAGGAGAGAATCCAATCCTAGTAATTAGAGTAGCTGCCAGTTACTAAGCTGTCTGTATACCAAGCACCAAGGTGAGGGATTAACACACACGAACATGTTTATTCTTCACAACAACCCTTGTCTCCAGATAAAAGCTGAGGCTAAAAGGAACACATTTGGGTACTCAGCTAGGCAGTCTGATCCCCACACCTGAGATTTTACCTACTGCTTCTCACATGGGGTCGGTGTACAATGGAACAGAAATAGTCTGGAACAGTAGCTTGGAAGTTGTTCTAAATATTTTGCAAGATCAGAACAGAACTACAGAAGGAACTGCCTCTGACTCTTTAGTTGCTACAATGAATATCAGACCGAAGGAAGAGCTGGCCAAGAAGATGGAATCTGGAGAGTCCTGTCTTCCTCCAGAAGAGAGGGCCCAGGTTCCAGCAACGCCCCAAATAACCAAGGCAGGACACATCCTGGTATCAGGTTACAGATCTCAATGCCTAGAATAAGCAGAATGCCAGAAGTGCAAGACATGAAGCTTATCACTCCTGTTCAGTGTTCAGCAAGGATCAAGCAAGCCACGTCCCACTACCCGGAAATGCTTCAGGAACACGATTTGGTGTAGTGGCTTCTCTTCCCGAGCTATTAGAAGAAATAGAGTGCTTTGTATTCTGTACAAACAAAGCCTTGCCTGTAACATCAGGGTTTGAAACCCTTGAAGCATAATTTCTTAATGCTTTTAAAAAAAACGGAAAGCTCTTTTAGAGCTCCAAGCCGGGTATGGTGGCGCACTCCTATAATCCCAGCACTCCGGAGGCTTGTTTCAAGTTCGAGGCCACCCTGGGCTACAAAAATGAGCTCAAGACCAGCATGAACTGTATAGTGAGACCCTGTCTCAAAAAGACAAAAAGAAAAAAAAAAGAATCTCCTTAAGACTCCTTGTCCAGATGACCTGAAAAAACTCAAGTAACAGAAAGACATCTTGGGTGCAGATTATGGACTCTTGGGATTTAGAAAGTAATTCACTGGATTTACTCTCATATTTTATATTCCCATGGAAAGTCTTCAGTTTATATGTTTAAGACCATAGTTTGCTACTGTCACAGCATCTCTACTGACAGTGGGTAATTCTTGTCCTTTCTGGCCCAGGTCTCCTAGAACAAAACAGGCCCTACACTGGGCTGGTCATCTAGCTTTTTATACCCAAACCTAATTTTGCATTTATTATTCAGAAACACTCAAGTTAAAACAAAAGGGGATAAACAAGAAGGGTGGAGAGGGGGCAGTTGCTTCTTCACTTCTATTCTTTGCTCTGCCAGGGAGGGTACAGCTGGCCAGAGAAGGCCGTGTGAGCCCCAGAGACTATGCCACATTTTGCTTTTTCTAACTCTCAGGGAAACTGCACTTGGAAAGGTAAAAGCAGAGTCATTATGTAAATTTTTTTGAGGTGAGTCTGGGGCGGCCAGTAGGTTGGAAGGGAGATGGGAGAGTCACAAGCAGGGAGAACTGGCCGGAGAGGCCAATGAAATATTTCAGATTTCTAAACTGGGGCAGTGGTGGGGATAGGAGACTGGGAGGCGGGATGGAGTCCCAGTTGAGAGTTAGGGAACTAGAGTTACAGGAAGGAGCAGGGTAGCTTAAGGAACTCAGAACGATGGTGCCATTTACCAGTGATGGTCAGGGAACAGGTTTGAGAAGAGCTAGGATTGGCACACGCCAAGGCTGATTGTTAACAGAACCTTCCAGCATGTCTTGGGCGGGAAACTGGCTGGAAGCAGCAGCTTGGGGACTCACCTAGCTGTGTACCAAGAAGGCACAGCCAGAGCTGCGGACACAGAGGCATCCACATGATTGGTAGAGGTTAACTTGTGAAAAGATGACTCTGAGAAGGGCTGACACTGAGGAGACTGGAAAGAAAAACCAGACACACAAAGGTCTCATGAACAGGAAGCTTGGGAGAGATGTGGGTAGCCCGGAGGAAGGGATCTGCAGGCAGCCAGGTCCTGAGCTACAGAGATGCAAGAGCTCCATGGGCGTGTCAGCCGTGGCGCGTGAGCATCTCCAGAGGGGTAGGAGCTGGAGAGTGGGACATGACTCCTTCCATATTTTCAGAGAAAGGTAAGGAACGAGGAAGTGGCTCCCCAGAGTTACAGGAGCCAGAAGTGGAGGCCTGGAGAGGGGAAACGCCAACAGAAACTTCTTTAGAAACACTGGAGTGACAAGAGGGAGGGGTTAGAATAGAGAATGAGGAGGATGGAGTCTTCAGGGAGGTAAATGTCCAGAACACGAGCTAGTTGGACCAGGAAGGAGGTCTCTTTTGCCGCATCACACGAGGCAAGATCCAGGGTAGCAGAGACGTAGCTTGCGGGGGGAGGGGAGGAAGAGGAACAGCACATCTGAGGGCTTTCACTTCAGGTGGTGTTGATCTAAGTGAAACGGGTAAGGTGGAGGGGGCTGCACCAGCCTGGGGCCGTTGGCGTTGGAGCCTTGAGACGGGAACAGTGGGGCTAAGCCAGCCCTGGGCTGGTGATTAGTGATCAAAAGGATGGGCGGGGATCGGGAGCAGGGAAGGAGGGGAGCCCAAGTTGCCTTTGGCTTTCTGTTGGTGTTGAGACAAAATATTGGCTACAGGGGGCGCCCAGCCACACTGTCCAAGTTGGGTTCTAAAGGGCCATGGCCTGGGAGCAGAGCAGATTCCAGTACCCCCAACTCTGGAATTAAAGTCCGACTGATTTACTGACCCTTTGCGTCATGCTTCTGTTCCAGGCCTATTTGCACTCCATGTGCATCATCCACCGGGATCTGAATTCTCACAACTGCCTCATCAAGTTGGTATGTCCCTCTGCTCCGAGCCTCGCCTGGGATCCCGGCGCCACCGGCCCTCCTAGCTTCTTTGTCCTAGAGGAAGCTGACTGTCCCCTGTGGCTTCAGGCCAGGGATGTTGCCTAGGGGCTCCCACCATGCCCTTCCTGCTGCCTCCAGTGACTTCCCTTGTCTTCTGAAAGCTCCCAGACACATGCAGATACAATTTCACCTCCTGTCAGCAGCAGTTTTGAAATCATTTGATTAGAAGGGACTTTAGGGCTAAGGATGTAACTCACTGGTAAAGCACTTGCCTACCGTGAGGCCCTGGGGTCAGAATACAGTGCTATTACACACCTGTAATCCTGGAACTCAGGAAGGCTCAGGTAGGAGGACAGCAAATTTGAATCCTGCCTGGACAACTTAACAAGACCCTGTCTCAAAATTTTAAAAGGGCTGGAGGTAGTCAGGTGTGGTGACGCACACCTATAAGCATAGCACTCAGGAGGTTGAGCCCACATAGTGAGTTCAAGGCCAGCTTGAACTACATAGTAGCTGGGTGTGGTGGCACATGCCTATAATCCCAGCACTCAGGAGGCTGAGGCAGGAGGATCGTTTCAAGTTTGAGACCAGCCTGGGCTACAAAGTGAGCTCAAGGCCAGCCTGAACTGCATAGGGAGCCCCTGTCTCAAAAAGACAAAAAAAAAAAGGAGTACATAGTGAAACCCTGTCTCACAGAAAGGAAGGAAAGAAGGGAGAGAGGGAGAGAAAGAAAGAAAAGAGAGACAGAAAGAAAAAAAGAAAGGAAAGAAAGAAAAAAAAGAGACAAAAAGCTTTTTAAAAAGGGCTAGAGGTGTTCAGTGCTGGAGCACCCCTGAATTTAATCCCACAGTCCCAGCCCCCCGAATACACATGGAAAGGACCTCAGAAGTTGCTCATTGTACTTAGGGCCCTGTCACTTTATCTGGTTTTACTCCATAATAGTCCTGTAAAGCAGCTAATTGCTCATCCTGTTTGACAGCATTGGCACCTTAAAACATCAGCCTGAGGCCACCAGAGCTAGTTAATTTACAGTGACTAGTTTGGGGCCATGGTTGCTCCCACCACCCCTTTGCGGTTGTTACAGTGTTTCTCCTGTTGACTTGCAACCTGGCTTCTTGGATGTCCCATCAAGCTGGCTGTGGTCCTGCCCGCTGGACCTATACCAAACAATCTTAATCCCTTTTCACATGACTGCCCTGTAGCTATCCCAAGAGTTTATCTCCCCTCACCCCCCACACTGACTGCCTCTACCTTGTCTCTTTCTCTTATCCCGGTCCTAGCAACAACACATCTTTGCCGGAACCAGGCAGAGCAAAGGAAAGCCAAAAAATCCCCTGTCTGCCTTGGAGTTCCACCCTCCGGGTTCCAGAGCCCTACCACTCCCGGGCTCCGCTGGCTCTGCTGTAAAACCCGTCTTGGGCAGTGGCGCGGACACCAGACTGATAGAAGCGCAAATGCCAGCCGTGTCTGGTTGGAAAGCTGGCAGAGTTTTCTGCTGAGACTCTCCTTTGCTGTGTACTTCGTTCCCCTTCTTGGTGGCTTCTCTTGCCTATACGCTTACCCTTCAGGTTAGAGAACCAGGTTTGAGAACATCCTCACCTGGTCCTGACTGGGCCCTTATCTCCCCAGGACAAGACTGTGGTGGTGGCAGACTTTGGGCTGTCCCGGCTCATAGTGGAAGAGAGGAAAAGACCCTCAGTGGAGAAGGCCACCACTAAGAAACGCACCTTGCGCAAGAGTGACCGCAAGAAGCGGTATACGGTAGTAGGAAACCCCTACTGGATGGCTCCTGAAATGCTGAATGGTGAGTCCTGAAGCCCCAGAGGGAATGACCCAGAGGGAACACGGAGGCCACATCTTGTAGCCAAGCCCTGGAAGCTCCTGGCGAGCCTTGTGAAGTGTAGAACTAGATACCCAGAGCTAAGGGCTGGATTTGTTTGTCTGTTTGAGATGTGTCACTATGTAGTCCAGGCTAGCCTCGAAGTAATTATGTAGCCTAGGCTGGCCTCGAACTCACAGCAGTCCTCCTGCCTCAGCCTCCCAAGTGCGGGGACTACAGGTGTGCGCCACCATGCCCAGCTGGATGATTTTTTTAGCCCTGGTGAGGCTGGTCCTCGTAAACTCCATCTTCCCTGAGTTTAGTGTTGGTAACTGAGCAGTGTGCCATGCTGGGCATAGGCTGAGGTCTGACCAGCTCTTTTGCCTAGAGGGTGAGAACTCAAATTATTCATCACCCCTCAGTGATGGGGAATCTTTTAGAGTTTTCAGTGATAATCAACAACCCTCTGTGGCACCCGTGCTGTAAGTTTGCCCCCACTGTGGCTTTTCCCTCTCCAGGCTGAGGCCTGAGTTGTGCTGCCCCCTAGCGGATAATGCTCAAATCAGCTAGTTGTTCTGACTGGCATTCTTGAAACGCAGCATCGTGCGGCCTTAGAAGTAGTGTGATACAATCCTTTACAGAGCATAAGGCCCAGGGAAATTCCTTCGCTTACTCAAAAGCAGGCAGCTGGCTAATGACAGCCTGGATGAACCTATATGTACAGTTATTTTCTACTGTACTGTGCAGTTCTCTGAGTCAGGCCAGCCAGAATTGAGGAGAGATTTTTTTTTTTTGAGACAGGGTCTCACTATGCAGTTCAGGCTGGCCTTGAACTCACTCTGTAGCCCAGGCTGGCCTCAGACGCATGGCAATCCTCCTGCCTCAGCCTCTTGAATGCTGGGATTGATAGGCATGTTCCACCCCACAACCGGCTTGAGGAGATTTTCAAGTGGAGTCATTCTGATCAGCCTTTGGGGCATCCCTGCAGAACTGCTTTAGCCCCAGTCCTTGGCTATGGCTTGGCTTGACCCTAGCCTAGTACAGAGCACATAAGGCCTGTAAATTTAACAGCCTGCTCTCCTCTGTTCCCTAAGGAAAGAGCTACGATGAGACAGTGGATGTCTTCTCTTTTGGGATCGTTCTCTGTGAGGTGAGTTCTAGCACCAAGGCTATTCCTGACGCAGCAGCCGTACCAGCTTGGCCCTGCCTCAGAGCTCATTCTCCTCCGAGGAAAGAATAACTTGCCATAAAATGAACACAGGCAAAATGTTCTACCACTTATAATATATGCCACATTGAGTCTTGCTGGTTCCATAACGACAACTGAGCAAGTTTTCTTTCAGGTAAAAAAAAAAAACCAGGTTCAGAAAGAGGCAGTAGGGGCCAGGGATATAGCTCAGTGGTGCAAGCGCCTGCCTGGCAAGCGTGAGGTCGTGAGTTCAATTCCTGGTTAAAGAAAAGAAAAAAAATCCAGAAAGGGGCAATGGCTAGCTCTTAGTCACATGGTCAGTGGGAAGCAGGCGAGATTGAGAATTTCAGTAGGAAAGGCATAGTACTGTCCGTTGAGCTCTTACAATAAATTAGCCCTTCCCAGTTCCCCCTCTGTTCTCCTTCCACAGGCCCTGGTGGTCCCCCTACCCTGAATCCAGCAAGTGGAGTAATGATCCTAGGAAGTTCTGGCCCCATGCTAGGTACCTTGAGGTACAGGGCAAGTAATGGAAAGTAGCTTAGCAGTCAGATGGCAGCATTGCTCAGTATAGCTCAAAGCTGAACACGTTAAAAAGAAAAAAAAAAAAAAGCTGAACACATACATTCAGACGCTTCTGTAATTCTCCAGTACAAAATTGTGAGAGAGAAGGGATGATTAGAATAATGACAAAAGTTGTTTTAATTGTTTCATTTAATAGATATGAATTGAGCAGCTAATGTATACAGAGCATTAAGCAGGTGCCAAAGTGTTTTCAGACATGAATCAAACCGAAGTCCTTGCCTGACTGTCTCGACTCTGACAGATGATATCACCATAGGCAGGGAAGGCTAGAATGGGTGGAAGCTGCCAGTCTACCACCATCAGTTGGAAAATGGTGCTTCTGCTGAAATGAAGCCTCTTTTTTTTTCCTTAATTTTTTTTTTTCTTAGAGATATAAAGTTTTATTATTCTGTTTTCTCCTTTTCTTAATTTTTATTTTTATTAGTACGTGTTTACAGTATATAATGATTACCTTCATAGTGGGGAGTTAGTACATGCATGTAACACGTCTTAATTCTTTTTATGTCCCCTTTCTCCCCTCGTGAGGGTTCTTCTAAACCCTCCTCACTAACCAGACTCTCAGTCAAGAGGGTTAGCAAGATTTGGAAATACACGGATGAGGGACAGTTATCTATCTACTCTAGGTTTTTACCACTTTCTCTTCTGCATATCTGTATTGGTCAGCTTTTTTGTCTCCGGAACAAAATATCTGACACCTGCAATTTATAGGAGGAGATGACTCACAGTTTGAGTAGATTCAGTCCATGGTCAGTAGACTCCAAGGTAGAAACAGCATTGTGGCGCAAGGTCGTGAGTTCGACTCCCGGTACTGGAGAAAAAAAAAGAAAGAAATAGCATCGTGGAAGGGCCTGGTGGAGGAAAGCTACTCATATCACGGTGTTCCAGAGCAGAGAGAAAAGAGAGGAGCCAGAGATGAGAATACACCCTTCCAAGTCATATGCCCAGGGACCCACCTCCTCCAACCAGGTCCACCTCCAAACATGAGACTTCTAGGAGACATTTTAGATGTAAATCATAACAACATCCTTCTGTCCGCACACCAGCATCCCCGTCCCGTGTCATGCACCTGTGGCCTCTGTAGTCCTTCCTAACCAGCCATCTTCTCACCTATAGATCATTGGACAAGTGTATGCAGATCCTGATTGCCTGCCCCGTACACTGGATTTTGGCCTCAACGTGAAGCTCTTCTGGGAGAAATTTGTCCCTACAGACTGCCCCCCAGCCTTCTTTCCCCTAGCCGCTATCTGCTGCAGACTGGAGCCTGAGAGCAGGTCAGTATCTCACCTGTTCCTCCCAGCTCACAGGGTCCTGGGATGCTCGCCCCAGCATTAAGCCATCCATAAGCTCTTCCTAGGCATAAGGATAGCAGAAGCCTGGAGCTCAAGAATGTAGTATCAAACATTGAAGCCACCTGACAACTCTGATATGCCAGGTTTGAGGGGAGGGAGATGAAAGCATAGTAGCAAGTAAACTGTATAGGACACAAATACATACTCACTAAAATAAAGTTTAAAAGAAGAAAATTTGGGGCCAGGTGTGGTGGCACATGCCTGTAATCCCAGCACTCAGGAACCCAAGGCAGGAGGATCACCATGAGGTTGAAGCCAGTCTGCACTATATAGTGAGCCTTTTTTTTTTCTTCTTTTATTTTTTTGGTACGGGGAATTGAACTCAGGACCTTGCACTTGCCAGGCAGGTGCTTGTGCTACTGAGCTATACCCCCAGCCCTATAGTGAGATTCTGTCTAAAGAAGAAGGAGAAAATTTGGGGTGTGGATGTGGCTCAAAAGAACAGTTATCTAGCATGTATGTCACCTTCTAATATTTAATATCGTTTATTCTGTTTGTCAGCTTTCCTTACAAGGCAAGTACAATGCATACATTTTTTCATAGTAAATAAATGTTTCACATTTTTTCCCTGCATTTTCCATTTTACTACTTAGCCTTTATTATTTCGTTGACAACATGAAATTCTTATAAGAGGCTTTAAACGTATTATGATCTATATAATGGAGATACATTCAGGTTTTTCCAGCAGGTATTAACTACAGTGAGCAACTTTATGCATTTAGCTCATTTTTTTAAAAAATGCTTTCAATGGCCTTTATTCTTCTTAACTGACAGATTTCAGTATTACCAAAATCACCCCTTCATCTTTTCCATTTTATGCGTTAGGAAACTAGAATTTTTTTGTGGGTTTTTTCTGCTATCAGAAATCACAGAGCTTAGGCAGGTGTGATGGCACATGCCTGTAATCCCAGCATTCAAGAGGCTGAGAGGCAGGAGGATGATCAGGAGTTTGAGGCCAGCCTGAACTACATAGTGAGACTGTGCCTCAGAAAAAGAGAGAGAAATCACAGGTCTGGTGCAAGAAATACAGCCCAGTGGTAGAGCAGTTGCCTAGCATGGCTAAGGCCCTGAGTTTGATCCCCAGCACTACCAAAAAAAACCTGTGCCCTAAACAGTCCTCTTTGCTTTGTTCCACAGCATGTCACCTTCTAATACTCAACATGGTTTATTTTATTGTTTATGAACTCTCCTTATTAGGCAAGTGCTCACCACTGAGCTGTATCCCCAGCCCCAACTCTCTTTGCTAGAATGCAAGTTCTACAAGGTCAGGCACCTTTATTTTGTTCACTGTTATAACCCAAGCACTTAGAACAGTGCCTACCCGTAACAGGCACTTAATATATTGTTTCTGATTGTACACAGACATTTAGAATGACTGAAAAGGGATTAAAAAGAGTGTGGATACAAAGAAAAAAAAAGAAGGGCCGAGTGTGGTGGGTGGTACACATCCTGTAATCCCCATACTTGGGAGGCTGGGGCGGAAGGATGGACGTGAGTTTGAGGCTGGCCTGGGCTACATCGTGAGTTCAAGACCAGCCTGAACTATATAGCGAGACCTTGTCTCAAAAGGAGGGGTGCAGTTAGCAAACAAATACTATACAGTTTCAGTTTTTCCTTAAACTCTTCGACTGGTATTACTAAAGGATTGTAGTCTTCTGGCCTGTAAAAAACAAGATCAAGATTCTCACCAGCAAATTTCAGTTCTGAAGTAGCCCTTTGGAAATCCTTGTAATTTTAAATGCTACAGTCAGAATAGGCCTCACCAAGATAGCATGACCTTTAAGCAAGAATGGGGAGAAGAGGAACAAGCCTGAGATATCCAGGTCAGTCATGCCATTTCCGTAGCTCTTCAAGGCCTGTGTTTGGGTTTTTGTTTGGTTGGCATTTTTCTCTTCGAGAAGAACTTAGTCTGTGAAATGCTCTTTCCTGGGCAGATCCATTGGTGTAGAAACAGCAAGTCTCAGAACTGGAAAGAGTCTTTAAAATGGCACTTAGGGGCTAGGGCTGGCATGCATGAAGCTCTGGGTCCAATCCCCAGCACTGCAAAAATAAGTTTTCTTAGACAAATACAATGCCCAATTCCATTTTGACACCTTGACTTTCCACTTTTTCTCTAAAATATAGGAGAGACTCTTCTCTTGGACTTTTTTTTTTTTTTGAGATAAGATCTCACTGTGTAGCTCAGGTTGGCCTTGAGCTTATTATATAGCCCAGGCAAGCAACAAACTCACGGTGATCTACCTCAGCCTCCCAAGTGCTGGGATTATGGGATTACAGGTCAGCGCCACCACACTCAACTACATCTTTTAAAGCTGTCACCTCCAACCAGTCCAGGCTTCTCACAGCATTATCTTTGATCGTTCCCTCTCTACTGTGAAGCAGCAGTAACATTATATTAAGCCCATTTCCCACAGAGGCACAAAGAGGGTTTGCCCACCAGTCAAATGGATTCCTTCCATGCCCCACGATGGACATGCTCCTATTCCACCTGCCTCTGATCTACCCCTTTCCCTTCCAGACCAACCTTCTCAAAACTGGAGGACTCCTTTGAGGCGCTCTCTTTGTACCTGGGAGAGCTAGGCATCCCACTGCCTGCAGAGCTGGAGGAGCTGGACCACACTGTGAGCGTGCAGTATGGCTTGACCCGGGACTCGCCCCCCTAACCCTGGCCCAGCCCCCTGCAGGGGGGCGTTCTACAGCCAACGTTGCCCCCTCTGCGCCCCATCCCAGGGCCGTCCAGGTTTCCTGTGGATCGGTGGCTTGTTGAGAGGCAGAACAAGCCATCTCTACTACCTCCTCAGGAGGCGAGCGGGCGCAGCACCAGGGAAACATATCTCCACAGGTTTTGGGGCCTGGTTGCTGTCTGAAAATCCAACACTCGCCTGAAAGCTGTGAAGATTTAAAAAAAAAAGAAAGCCTGGACTCTAGGCTAGGAAGAATCTGTTACTTGGGACCACTTGGGAACTCCCTGGTTGTGGATCCTTGGAGGCTTATGCTTACACTACACAGGACCTAGATCTGCTGAGCAGGATCCAGGGTGAAGCTCCCTGTGGGCTCTGAAGCCTCTGGTCCAGTTGTGTGCAAGAGGACTTCAAGTGGGAGTACGACCATGAAAAAGACTGGTGGCCAGGTGGCACTTGAAGGATGCAAAATGACAATGATGTTCCCCTCTTCCACTCCAGGTCCTGCCCTCCCTGGAGCAGAGGGAGGGAGTCGGTTTTGAAGAGTCCCTTAGTCAGTGTACGGTGGAACTGGCCAGGAGTCAGGGAAAGGACTGGTTTCTGATCACTTGCTAGTGGGTGACTTTAGCCAGCCTAGGGACCACATCAATGTGAAGGGGAGCTTCCATCTCATGTTCTCAAACTATACTACTGGAGACTGGCTGAGAACTTCCGAGTGACATCCTCTATCTCAACAAGCAGTCGTAGCACAGTAAGAGGCTGGAGGCTGGGAAGCTCTACCCTATAGAAAGCCCGTGTCCTCTCGATGCTATCACTCGATGGTCTCCTCAGTCAAAAGCCCAAGACATTTTGCCTAGAGCTAGATGGGCTCTGGAGTACAGTGTGGCTTGTCACGGTCCGGGGTCTGAGGAAAGAGAAGAGAGTTTTCTGCAATCCCTTGACCTCAGCCACTGCTTAGCCTCAGCCTGCCTGCTCTGGAGAGCAGTTTAGATTGGGAAGAGGTGGTTGCAGAGTCCCAGAGCTGAAATGCTGAGAGAGCCATCCCCTGAGCTGGGCCATCTAACTTCTACCCTCGACCTTCCCTTGTCGGCTGGCCCAGCTCATAGCTTCTGGCTACAACTTCCTGAGCCATATTCCAGGGCCATGGGCACTGGAAAGCCCAGGGGGCACCCACTCCACCTTGGTTTCCAGACTTCCAAGGACTCAACAGCACGAGATTTGCCTCCTCCTAAGTGTGAGCTTGCAACATATTTAACAAATCGGGAATGGGCTTGGGGTATATAAATGCGATGAGTGGTGGTTGTATGGGGGGTGATCCAGGAGAATGGTTGCTGTTAATATTATCTTGTTGTTATATCTATTGGGTGATATGTGAACTGTTGTACATAGACCAGATGAGTTGTGGGATAGGATGTCATCTCTGGCCAGAATTTGCTTGCTGTGTAGACTATACTCACGTGTGGAGTTGCAAGCTTGCTGAAAGGTTGAATTGTGGACTCCCGGCAACAGCATGGTTCAGCATCATGTGGCTGGTTGTGCTTCAGCTATCCCCAGCAAGTCTGGGAATAGGGGCCCTGAGCTGGGTCATTGGGCAGACTAAATAAATTAAGCAGTTAACGTAACTGACAATACCGAGAGTGAAAAAGTGACTTGGGGCCTGACTCGGGGAGATAAATGTGGAGGGTCTGCTGGCCACCTTCGTGTTCAGGACACACAGCTGCCACAGCAGGAAATTCTCACGTATCCATCTAATCCCTGTCCGTAAACAGTCGTCAGCCTGTTCAGAGAACATACACATCCCACCAGAGGCAACCCTTTGTGTAGACCAGTTCTGTGTCTTCTGGGCTCCGTAAAGCTACTGCGCCTGACTTCTGCCTGTGGGCAAATCCTCAGGAGCCCTCCACTCCCATCTCTAACATAGGAGCACTTCTACAGACGGGGGATTCTGGCATTCTCTCCACAGAGCTGCACGCCACCTTCATAATGGTGAAAAGTGAATGCAGGTCAGCCCACCCTGTGTGTAGGACATGCTTGGGAAGACAATGCCCGTTTCTTGTTTCTGCACATGAGGGGTACTCTGGAAGACTGACATTGGGCAGGATGATGCTATCTGGTTGGTAGGGTCCGAGGCACAATACAAAGCTTGAGGAATCTAACTTAAGCATAGAATCTGGTTCCTGAGGAAACATAATCTGAGGTACCCACTGCAGCAGAGCTGCAGAGCAGTATTTGGACATGGGCAGAGGTCACTCTGGTATACCTTCAGCTTATTGGCTGAGTCCTGCTGAAAGATCTAAGAAATGCTCCCGTTGGTAGCTTTCCTTCTACAGCCCTAGGAATCATCCATGGGGACGTTCCTCAGCCAGAGGCTGCTCCAGGCAGCCCAGGGACCCATCCCCTTCTGTATATGCATCCCTCCTTTGGTTGCTACAGCATTACCAGCACCCCCTCAGCCCGACAAGGACTATCTGTGTGCTCGTTCCAGCTCTCCTTACCTCGCAAAAATGCTGAAGGGGAAAGGACTCGCAGTGACCACCTCCCTTCTCGGGGGACCTACCCTTCCTATAGCTTCAACCTGAAAGAGTCCTGGTGATGACAACAATCAGGACGCAGAGGCTGCAGTTTCCAGCCATTCTACTGTTGCCTTCCGTTTGTAGAGCCAGGGTGAGTGAAGAGAAGGCCAGAGCTCACTGCGCAGATGTTGACAAAGATAAACCAGGAGCTTTCCCAGGGTATGGGGGGCGGTGTTCTTGGCACCCCACAAAAACTTGGTAACATGGAGGTTTGTTTTGTTTTTATATAAGTCAAATGCACAGCAATTTCCCGTACTTTATACACAGGTGTCAGAATGAGGTATATAAAACATGTATACAGAGAAATGTTTATAGAAAAGTAGAAACCAATAATGTTCTCTTCTCCAGAGTCACTAACACCAAGGGACCCTCTGCAGCCTCGGTTCCCTCAGCAAATGGCTTTAGGGAGCACCCTCCTGAACAGAATGGGCTCCACTTATCCCCTGCCCACACTGGGTAGTGGAAGGACTATCACGAGGAATCTCTGGCCGGGGAACACTGCCGAGGCCTCCAAATGTGACGGCAGAGCCTGGAGGGCCTGCTGAGCTTCAAGTGCTGAGGAGAAAGAACTGCTAGGTCAGGAAGCTGAGCACTGTCCTACTGGCCATGTCAGTAGCTTGTTCTATGACCTTAGGCAAGTCATTTTACCTCTCTGGGTTCCTGTGTCCAAAAGTTTTGAAGAACCTTAAGGTCCCTTCCAATGGTAAGTTAGGGGTTGTGACATTAGCCCCACTGCCCCATAGGAAGACGCTGGCCCGGAAACCACAGGGCCACTTGCAAGCAGGGTACACTGCAGGGGCAAGTCCTGAAGTGCTTTATTATCTTGCCTCTGAGCTCAGTATGCAAGCTATCCTAGAATCAATTCAATGAGCCCCACAGTATATAAATCCCATGGGTTAACTGGTTCCTCTCTTACCTGTGCAAAATGGGGAGAGGTCACCACCCATCCCAGAAGAGAGATGGTCTGGGGCACCCCAGGTCCACCTCTGTCCCTGAGGCCTAAGGCAGGAGTAGATCCTTCTCTACCCTCTTCCTAAATGGAATGTTTAGTGCAATTTTTCCCTTCCTTTCTCTACAAAACAGGAAGAGTCCCTGGGCCCAGGTCTAGCCCACGGTTGTCAAGGCACAACACTGCCAACAAACTGGAGCACACCCAGCAGACCCCCAGCCTAGATCCCATTCTCTGCCCAAAGTCCTGACTTTGTACAAACTCATTTCTGGTTCTGAGAGGTTAGTAGGGAGTGCCACTCCTAATACTTAAAAACTAAATATACATTTTTTTTCAGTGCCATCTCTTGACCTGCTTGACCTTAACTATGAATAACAGTATATGCCACTCAAGCTCATGGAGAAAAAATGGAAAGGCATAGGCTGAGGCCATCATAGTAAAGCACAGAGGAGCCTTGAGGAAGTTCCCTGTCTATCCCTGGTCCAGTTCCAGGAACACAAGCAATATTTGGAAGACCTTGTCAGCAACGTCACTGTGGGAGCTGTGCCACTATCTCCATCCACAAGCAAAATCCTGCTCCCAGGGATGGAGAAGGAGCACTAGGAGCACTGATAGCATCCTACCCAGCCCTCAGCCCACCGTGCTGCCTACTTCTTTCATGAGGATTTACCCGGAGGGGGAGGGGGAGGGTTAACCGAAAAACAAAATGTAGGTCCTCCCAGCTGTAGGAAGGTGGGCTGTCCCGCACCAGTTTTTGCATGGGCTCCTGCCCACTGAAAGAGCTCAGGCCCCAGGGGTGCCAGCCTGGCCCATGAGGGGTGTGCTGCCCTCCTGAAGGTCGACAGGAGTCTGGCTGCTGTGGACGACGACAGTCTACTCATCCGTGATCTCGCTCGGGTTGGTAAAGGCAGACAAGAACAGAGTGATTTGCTGCTCACACGCTTTCTGCTCATGCTGCTCTTTCAGGTCCTTCCCCCTAGGAGGAAAAGAGGCAAGTATTCAGGCTATGTCTCCTGCATGACTCTGCTCAATTAGATAGCACCCCTGAAGTCCAGACAGCAGCAGGGGGGCACCCACTCACCCTGATCACAGTGACTCACTGGCTGAGCCAGGACTAACACAGGTCCAAGGTATTAGATTTCCATTTTGTCAGAATGCCTTAAACTTACAGGAGTGCTTCCCTCAGGTCTGTAAAGTGGGAATGACGGCAGTACAAGCCTCCCACAGCAGTACTGGGGGTCAATGGAGATAATGTAGAGGAAAGATAGTTTTGCTGTTTTAGCCCACAGATCTAAGAGACCCAGAAAACTAGCTATTCCAGCTTCGTCCCTAAGCCACAAAGTGGTCATGAAAACTGACTTGATCTTTGTGCTATGAGACAGCTCTGTGTGTGTGTGTGTGTGTGTGTGTGTGTGTGGTGTGTGTGACTGAGAGATTAAATCCAGGGCCTTTGCACCCCTCTTCTGAGACAGGGCCTCACTAATTTGCTAAACTCAGGCTGAGCTTAAATTTACACTCCTCCAGCCTCAGCCTCCCCCAGACATGCACCATCACACCCAGCTTCCCAAGCCTTTTTTTTCCCGGTACCAGGAAACGAACTCACGACCTCGAGCTTTGCCAGGCAGGCACTGTGCCACTGAGCTAAATCCCCAGCCCCTCCCAAGCCTTTTTTTTGTTTGTTTTTTGAGACAGGATCTTGTTATATAGTTCAGGTCACCCTTAACTCAGTGTGTAGCTCAAGCTGGCCTCAAACTCTTGGCAATCCTCCTGCCTCAGCCTCCTGAGTACTAGGCTTACAGGCATGCACCGCCACGCCCAGCTTTAATTTTTATTTTGAGACAGGGTCTTGCTAAACTGCCCAAACTGGGCTCAAACTTGTGATTCTTCCGCCTTAGCTTCCCAGAGTTCTGTGATTAAAGGTGCAGGCTACCACATCCGGCAAGACAGCCTTCTTATCCTAGAACCCTTGTGTGTGTGAGCCCAAAATGTAAATGAATTTCCCAACCAATGCAGAGGCCAAAATGGACTGAGAGCTTCTCTGGTCAAAGGGAACAAAAAGAACGGTCAAACTTCAGACTTGTCACATGCTTTTCAATTTTCATGGTGTTCAGCGACCCACTGAGACCACAGGGTTACTCTGTTTTACTCATGTGGAATACCCACTCCATGCTAAGGATGTGAAACACATTATCTCACTTTATTCTCAGCTCAACCCTAAAAACTAAGTGACTCACTTTTTAAAAATGAAATGGCCCAGGGAAGTTTAAAAATGCTCCGAGAATATGGTGGGGCTGAAAGCTAAGTCTGTGAGCCCTGACTGCTGCTCAGAGAAGTTCTGATCAGGGTCATCTGAGAAGTAGGTGGGGTAGGGACTCAAACGCAACCTTCCTGGCCACACATGAAGGCCCTTCCTGTTGGACAGTGACACTCCCAGAGCCAACCATAGGACCTGGTGAAGGTACAGCATCCAGGGACCTAGGTCAGCATCCATGGAAGCCAGAAATTTGAGCTCAGTTGTCTGAGGAAATCCATGAAACAAGCAGCTAATGCATGACTTGGTAAAACAACATAGGGGTCTGCTTCATACCTCATCGGGGACATAGCCATAGTCACAGATTACACATACATCATGATGTGATGTACAGTGACAAAAGCTTTCAAGGACCAGGGAAAGAACTGGGGGAAGAGGGACTGGAGGAGGAAGCGTGCACAGGTGCTTCAGAACCATCTTTAAATTATTCAGTGCTCTTTACTTGTACGTAGTACCAGCTCACTTTAGCTATGTGATCCTGGGCAAAAAGCCTCTCTGAGTTTTCATTTCTTTAACTGCCTTAAAATAAGATAATGAAAGTGAAAGCGTTTTGAAAATACTGACACTGCTGCATTGAAAAACTCAGAAGAGCCCACCTGATGGCATACACCTGCAATCCCAGCACTTGGAAGGCTGAGGCAGGAGGATCCTTGTGAGTTCAAGGCCAGCCTGGGCTACAAACTGAGTTCACGGCCAGCCTGAACTGCATAGTGAGACCCTGTCTCAAAAAGACCAAAAAAAAAAAAAAAAAAAAAAAAAACCCTCATAGGAAGTAATTATGATTTGCCCTGAATATGACTTGACTTATCAAGCAAAGTTATCTTAATCTGGTTTTCCCAGGAAACTTTCTTACTGACCATCCAAGTTAAGTATTATTTGTGTAATCTGCTCCTCTAAGAGCCTTAATTTCATCATTTGTAAAATAAAGAGCGGCCCATGATAATCTCCAGAGCCCCTGATATTCTGTAAGATCCCTAACATGAGAGATTTTTTACTATAGGGTCACAAAACGCAGATGTGCAAGCTGATTCTCCTGAGTCATCCTAGGTGGCTGGGAGAGTGACTGAGTTTGTGAGCATGCAAGCTGAGGCTCCTGCCTGTCCTTCTCATTAGCCTCTGTACTGGATGCCATTAACTCCCGAAGCAGAAAAATTCCCAGAGCACCCAGTGGGGAAATGGAAGTGCATGATATTCCAGAGACAGGGTCCTCTGGACCACGTGCTTCCTGCTCACATCCTGAGGATAACTGGATAGTGTTCATCAGTTATGGGATGCTGCCACACAGAAGTAAACACCTACCTCCTCAATAAAATAAGATGCAAGCTTTTTCAAGGCTGCCCATATAGGGAGAAGCTTGAAAGATCTGAATTTAATTGTAGTAAGGGAGCCTCCAAACCAACAGAAGATCAAAAGACAACTGACAAAAGAGATAGAAGTATGTAAGGGTCTTCGGCCATGATCCGAATTTCAAAATTTCAGTTGCTGGAGTTAGAGGGAAATCTAGGAACTCATAACTTCCTGAGTACCCACCAGGGTAGCAGGAAATAGCCTTTCTATCATGTTCAGAATAAGAAGAGCTACGAGCAATCTGTTCCTACTGGAACAGATGTTTGCATTTTATATATACACCATCTTTTAATCTCTAACCTTGCCAGGCGTGGTGGCACACGCCTGTAATCCCCGCACTCAGGAGGCTGAGGCAGGAGGATTGCTGCAAGTTCCAAGGCCAGCCTGGGCTACATAGTTCAAGCCCAGCCACAACTATATAGCAAAAAACAAAACAAAACAAAAACAAAATGTCTAACCTTATAAAATAATATCCTACCTATTTTATAGATGACAAAACAGACTCCAGAGCCCTGCTTTCCTCAGTTACCTCCTTTACTAAGCATATGGCTGTGGCCTGCTGAGCTGCTGATAATGGTCAGGATGCATCATACACAAGTCTTCAGGAGAAAAACAATCAATTCATATTAATGCGTCAGCGCAGGGCTGGAAGAGCAACCGAGGGTAAAGGAAGCAGATGCTAGGACTAGTCTGGATTAGTCTCATCCATTTAAAAGCACGCAAACATACTCCACCCCAGAGGCCTGTTGGTGCCTGCGAGTCCTGGGGATGGAACGGCTGCCCCTAGCTCCCTTGGGAGACCAGAGAGCGGCAGCCAGGTCCACTGCACTGACCGCTGAGCAGCCCAGCCCCCACTCACCGCCTTCAGGGTGGAGGCAGCCAGGCTGTGGTCTAGAAGCTAAGAACAAAAAGCTTATTCACTGACTCCGCTCCGCTCCCAAGGGGGTGAAGTGGTGTTGACTTACCCTTTTTCCTTCCCCTTTTTATCAGAAAATAAAAGCACCTTTTGGAGCTAGTGCAGATGTTGTATTGGACAGAGACAGGGACATGCCCAGTGACAGACTGGTCACCTGAACCTCCTGGCCTAAACTACTAGGACAAAGACCCTGAAAGGGGGCCCGGTGCCTGTCCACCATTCCTAGCCAAGGGAAAGCTCCGTCCACTGGCCTAGCTTCATGGTCTCTGTCAGAATTCAAGGCTGGCAATAATTACCTTGTCTGCTCTGGGTTGAAGAGAGAGAGCTGGGCTCACCAGAGAGAGCGGGTATGGATGGAGCTGCTGCCTCTGACTTCCTCCCCCAAGGTTACAGAGCCACCATAGACCTTCAGGCAACTCAGGCTGGTTCCATTATTAAGTCTGAGCCACTGCTAATTTCCTAGTCGTATAAGTGCTGTGCCGCCCTGCTGCTCAGGACTAGTTTCCCAAAGCAGCAGGTTATGAACACCAACTGTACGCCCAAAGCCCACTGTATGAACTCTGTCCTCACAGCAAATCTAAGTGGTATCTATTTTGATATCTGTTTCAGAGGTGGGAAGGCAGATGCAGAGAGATTATATCGTCTGTTCAAGCAAATGGCATAGCTGGGACTTGAACCCAGTTCGTCTTTAGCCACCACCAAGCACAACAGTCCTTTTAGGACGTTAGAGCTGAGATGAACGTGATATATAACTGCCTGCCCCTATTTTACCAGCGAGGAAACTGAGGCCCAGAGAAGGTCCATAACTTGTCTAGTATCACATTCAGAATTGGCAACAGTTCCAGAAGTAGTAGTTTTGGTTTTCATAAATAAACCCAGCCATTTGGGGGAAAGATACTTTCTATTTCCAAAATAGCCTTTGCAATTCAAAACAAATTTACATCAGGCTTCTGAACCTAGATGGACTTTCAGGAGAAGCTGAAAACCTTTTCTTATTTTTCAGACACTAAGTCACTAAGTTGGCCAGGTTGAATTCAAACTTGTAATTATCCTGCCTCAGGCTCCATTAGTGCCGAGACTAAAGGCTTGCACCACTATGCCCAGCTACTGATAATCTTTTTTAGCTATGTGGCTTAGACGTGGTACTTAACTTCTAGGTCTCATCCTCTCACTGTAAAATACTGTAACGGTACTTTTTGGATGGTAATGAGGCTTACATGAGAACATCACAGGAGAGCATACAGTAGGGTCTTTATTAAGAAAACATGAATTAAATGTTGGCTGATATTGTCAGTACTATCTGATTGATATCCAGCTGCATATATGTAATACTTAATGGTTTCTCAGGTGGGTGGGTGTAGGGGGAAATATATTCCCATTTAACAGCCAGGATACCAAGGTTTATAATACACAATTGACAGCTCTTACCAGGACACTCTGTTCTCTAACTGTGGGGAGAGATGAGAGCTGAGAATCTGTCTCTAGCCCACATGTGGTTTCCTGTTGTACGGTCTGTTCTCAAAGCACGTTTACTAAGGAAAGGTGTGGTCTTGTGGTTAGTAACAGGGAGTCTCATGACTTACTATCTTCCCCGAGTTTATAGGAAAGTAAACTTAGGCCATAGGACAGTCCCAAGACAGCCTAGAAGAGCAAATCCAGGGAAAAGGATGGTTTCCTCATCGGCACCACAGTTGAGCTTGGAGTTCAGAACAGTCAGTCAGCTCAAGCATCTGGCTAACCTGGGAACTGTCAAAAGATTGGAAGACAGCCAAATGCTGCCAAGGAAGGAGGAAATATTTCAAGGGCCACACTCAACCAACATTGTTTGGGTCTGACTAGGAATTGTATGGGTGGAGGGAGCACTGCGTCATTTCCTCTTAATTCTGGTTTCCCTTTGTCCTGCCGTTTCAATCATCCCACCGTGGACCACAACCTCAGTCTGAAGGTCAGGATTCCTTCCCAGGTCAATACTGCCCCTCTCTGCACCTCTGCTTCCTCAATCACAGAAAAATCAGAGGATGAATGGGCCTGGAGAATACTAGTCCAGTATCTACATTTTATAGAAGAGAAAAACAGCTATTGTTTACTATTTACTATGTGCCACAAACTATGAGCTAAGCAGAACTCATGCCTTAACCCCATAGCAACGCTCTGGAGTAGGAAATGAAAGTAATTTGCCCAGAGTCCCACAGACAGCTATTAGTGGCTGGGTAGGACTTCTTTCCACCAAATATTAGTATAACCTCAAGCAAGGTACTTTCTCTTGCCTCCATTTCTTCATCTGGGATAATAACAGCATTTACCTCGTAAGAGTGATTGTGACAAGCGTGTTAGAGCATGCGAAGTGTTTGAAGCAATGTCTGGCATAAGGCAAATGTTTGCTACTGCTGTGATTATCACCCAATACTTCCTCTTTCTTAAATGCAAAAACAGGAGGCTGACTAGAGCACTTCTATGGACACCCTACAGCAGTGATGGCAAAGCTTTTAGCGCTTCCAGTGATAACAGACAGCCTGCTGCGGCATGCTTGCCATAGATTCACCACCACTGCCCTAGATTTATATAATTCTGGGTGAACCACTGGGGCTACGGGCTCTCGGAAATGGCTCTCCCCACTGGGAGAAAGTGACTCAGTCACTTTCATTATAGGAAGTCTTCTCAGACTAGAGGAAAAATATCACAGACCCTCAGCGCTGGAAGTGAAATCCTCTAATTTTCCCCAAGAGTGGTAAATATTTTTCCAGAATCAGCCAGTGCTGTAAAAACTGACCGTGATTCTTATCATCATGCATTGCTTTTTGAGCCCTTTTTTGCTTTTGAGAAAAGATCTCACTAAATTGCAGGATGGCCTTGAACTTGTAACACTCCTGCCTCAGCCTGCTAAGCAGAGGGATTACAGGCAGGTGCCACCACATCTGGCATGCATCACTGATTTTGAAAGTCTTTCCTATATAGCCTCTCAGGAGACCTTTCAAAATTTGTAATCCTCTTGCTGTCCCAGCCACAGGTCAGATTCCTGAGTTTCCCAGGTTGCCTCTTTTGCTTCCTCATGTATGAGGAGGAGGAGCAGACTCTTCTCCAACTCACCTTTTTCTTCCTATCCTAGGAGAGACCCCAGTGCTTTTGGCTGAAGAAATTTATGTCCCAACTACAAAAACAGTGGCTGGGAACACTTTCTAGTGAAAAAAAAATTATAACTCACACAAGGAATTCAGTCTCCAGGTCCCTGCTTGAGTATTCAATCCAATTTCTGCAGTGCCACTCACTTACGTGGCATTTTGGATTACACAGCAAGGAATTTGATATCAACAGAGTTGGATTTTAATCCAAGTTCTGTCACTCCTAGGTAATATGACATTGGACAAGGCATATCTCTGACAAAGTCTTCCTCATCTTTAAAGTGAATAACAACACTAAGCTAAAGTCAAAATGGATCAAAGATCTAAATATTAAAACAGAAACACTAAATCTATTGAAAGAGAAAGTAGGTAGAAATCTTGAAGACATAGGCAGAGAGTTCATGAACAAAACCCAGACCACACGGGAAATAACTCAAAGAATCAACAACTGGGACCTCATCTTATTAAAAAGCTTTTGCACATCAAAAGAAATCAAAAGAGTGAAAAGACAACCCACAGAGTAGGAAAATTTTTTAACCAGTTGTCTGTTAGACAAAAAGACTTGTATCTAGAACATATAAAGAACTGAAAAAAATCAGACCTCCCAAATTCAAAGACCCAATCCAAAATAGGGTATCTGAGATGAACATGCATTTCTCAGATGAAGAAAAAGAAACAGCAAGTAAATATATGAAAAGATGTTCAACATCATTGGTCATTT